AAAATACTTTATTTGAAGGATTGTACTGTATAATAATTGGGTTACTCTGTAAAAAGTGTGTCAAGTGCTAGGTTATATAAAATTTTTTTATGAAGTTTTAAATATGGTCTTTGTTTGAAGACAAGCAGCTCACTAGCTCAGCAGCTGTTGTATGTTGCAATGGGCCATTGCATTTTTTATCTGCACCCCCCCTATTGAGGACATGTGGAATTTCCAATGGCCCCCTGCAAAAGTGAACCAAAAATGAAGGAATTTCCATGGGAGGGTCCAAATTTTAAAGCAAATCTGCGGAAATTCCAAAGGGTAGGTAAGAAAAATGAGTAAAATGTATGGAATTTCCATGGGAGGGTCAACAATAGAAAAGAAATTCCAAAGGATAGGATCAAAATCAGCAAGGAATTTTCCAAGGGATAGCTACTAATCAAAGAATCAATACGGAATTTCCACTGGCTAGACCAAAAACTGTCAAGGAATTTCCATGGGATGGGTTAAAAGTTCATAAAAAATTTGCGGAAATTCCATGGGGATGGCTAAAATTCAATAAAAATCTGTGGAAATTCCACAGGGGAGGCTCAAAATTCGCTTAAAATATGTGGAAATTCCAGGGGAGGGGGGACCAAAAAATGGATGTCCTCAATAGGGGGGAGGGGTTGGTTTAAAAATGCAATGGCAATATTGGTTATATAACAAGTAGAAGACCTTACAGGAATCATCTGCTACATATTTTCAACCAATGAAATGTGTCAGAAATGTTGTCCGCCAGTTTCAACCTCATACCCAGACAAGGTGCTGATACCATATTTGAAATCGATGATCTGGAGTAACATTAGAGAATCACTATCATGTTCTTTATTAATTAATAAAATCTTATGTGTTTATACCAGGGGTCATTTGCTAGAAAGCCGGATAGCTTAATCCTAGGCTGACGGAAAACGTCAAAGCTATCTTCTCCACAGATTGTTTGTAGACATGAAAATATTTTTCCAGGAATCTTGTCTGGATCAATAAATATTTTATTTTCTAAAGGTTTGAAACCAAATGAACAACTGGCCCCAGGTCTTTTAAGTCTTGGTAATAATATGTGCCTGATCATTTAAATAAAAAAACACTTTTTGGTAAATTATACAGTATATTGGGTCATTCCAGAAAACATCCATACCACCCCCCACAGAGGAAATAGGAAGTTAACGCCCCTACCCCCTTCGGATGTCCTAATACATTTACTATTATCCGAAACAATTTTTTCTCCCCTCCCCCTCTGGATGGCAAAAATTTCCTCCGCGGGGGGAGTATGGATCTTTTCTTGAACGACCCATTAGGCTGCTCTGACGTAGTTGGAATGTTTTTACTATTGCAGGAAAATGGTGAAAAACCAGACAGCATGACACATAAAGATGCCATGATGTTTCCACTTGTTGCAAGTTGTGCCCTGTTAGGACTTTACATTGTTTTTAAGGTATCATTGAATATCTTTATATGACATATTTATCTTTTAGTTAGTTAAAATATTTCTATTCTTGGGTTTCAATCGGGGGCAGTCAAGCCAGTCATTGAACTGATGTCAACTAAAACAACAAAGAAACAAAATGGCTGTCAATGCATCCTATGTAAATGAGTTCTCCGACTATTATCTAAGCTAGTATAAATTATCTAAGAGCGACGAGCGGTCCTTTACCCTTGACACAGACCCTTGAACCCCATATGAAACCCAAGAATTAATTGAAGTTGTTTGTAATAAGATATCAGAAATCAATATGATAATTAAGTGTTAACCCAATGTGCCCTGGTGCAACCTGTTTTTAATTGTTACTTTATACTCTCACTGTCTACACAATGTTTGTGGATAATAACATATCACACAGTTTATTACACAAATTATACAGTTAAGTTTTAAACATATATATGCTGAACATTGTATCTTACTTTTTTACAGCTTTTTAACAAAGAGTATTTAAATCTTCTATTGGCTCTATATTTCTTTGTCTTGGGTGTTTTAGCCTTAACACATTTGTTAAAGTAAGTATTAGATTACTTGTTATAAGTTCTTTGTAACTTGCTTGGCATTTATAAAAATGTAAATTATAGTTTGTTTTGTACACATGGTAACCATTGCATTTATTTAACCATATATAAAGGCTAGTTGTTGGACTGGTTGTTTGAAAACCAATAAGCTGGATTAGTGTTTTTATTGAGGCCCACCAAGGGTGCAACCTAGGTAGCTTGTCACTAATTTTGTAGCTGCTTTGTCGCTTGTTTTATTGTAATAAATATTGCTGTCACTTCTGATCCATAACACAAATCGCAGTTTGTCGCTTTTCCCAGTCAGAAGCTGTCGTTTGTCGCGCTTTTTTAGATAGTCTGTCGCCTGTTTTTAAGGAATGTTGCCTGTCGGTCATAACCCCTTGGTGGGCCTCTTTATTCCAAAACGTCAGAGACGAAAACTCCTACTGATCCAGACAAGATTTCTAAAGAAATATTTCCAAATTTATAAACAAGCTGTTTGCTTTGAATTTTAGGTTAACCTAGGTTAAGCTTATTGGTTTTTCAACAACCACTCCATAGTGCAAACCAAATAATAAAATCAGTGCAAATAAAATTGTACTTTGGTGCTTAATTATTGGTCAAACTAATTTCCAAGTACTGGCTGCTAAGCTTATGAAAATTTAGTACAAAATAATTTAAAAACACAATGGCATCAGAATTATCTACCATTTAATTAAATATTTGAAATTATCTCTCTCTGTCAGACCTAATGTGGCACCACTACTATCAACATTTGTTCCCAATGTACCATACAAGTTGACCTGCACTGAAGGCACTGGAGACAAGAAAACTGGTAATAGATCGTTGGATGTTTTCATTTGCTTTTTTACAGTTGAACTCTCATTATAAACACCTACTTATAATCACCTCTCTAAAACAAAGTTTTGTGCAATTTTGTGCACACCTCTTTAAAATCAGACACCTCTCTAATACAGACATCTCTCTAATACAGACACCTCTCTAACACAGACATCTTTCTAATACAGACATTTTTTTTCTTCTTTTTTATTATTAAATCATTATTATTAAATTCAGTAATACAGACATCTCTCTCATACAAGCACCTCTCTAATACAAGCACCTCTCTAATATGAACACCTCTCTAATATGGACACCCCTCTAATATGGACACCTCTCTAATATGGACACCTCTCTAATACAGACACCTCTCTAATATGGACACCTCTCTAATACAGACATCTCTTTAATATGGACACCTCTCTAATACAGACACCTCTCTAATATGGGCATCTCTCTAATATGGACACCTCTCTAATATGAACACCTCTCTAATATGAACACCTCTCTAATATGAACACCTCTCTAATATGAACACCTCTCTAATATGAACACCTCTCTAATATGAACACCTCTCTAATATGAACACCTCTCTATATGAGCACCTCCCTAATACAGACACCTTTCAAATACAGACGCCTCTCTAATACAGACGCCTCTCTAATACAGACATCTCTATAATATGGACACCTCTCTAATATGAACACCTCTCTAATATGAACACCTCTCTAATATGAACATCTCTCTATATGAACACCTCCCTAATACAGACACCTCTCTAATACAGACACCTCTCTAATACAGACATCTCTATAATATGGACACCTCTCTAATATGGACACCTCCCTAATACAGACATCTCTCTGATATAGACACCTCTCTAATATGAACACCTCTCTCCAATACAGGCATCTCTCTGATACAGACACCTCTCTAATAAAGATACCTCTCTAATATGGACATCTCACTGATACAAACACATCTCTTATATGAACACCTTAAGTTTCTAATATGGACACCTCTCTAATACAGACTCCTCACTCATACAGCCACAACTCTAATTCACACACCTCTCTAATATACACACCTCTAGCTGTATTACAGAATATTCCATATCCGGCTAGATTGTTACTATTATAAACCAGCCAGATAATTTGTTTTTCCTGAAGTGTACTAAATTTCCATTAATTGAAAGATAATAAATAATAAAAAATAGACGTCAATACAACAAAACGACAATCTGATTTATTTACTATTTAATTAAATGTTGGTTATAGAAATAATGGACTATGAATTTGATTGTATTGATCTTATATGTGTTTCTGTCTCAACTATATTTGGAATTTGGTACCTTGTTAAGAAGGTACGTGTAGTTCTGATGTAATTTTTACTAAAGCTGTATAATATTATAAATTCAATTGTTTATTTTTTATCAATCTTCTTGGTGTAAGTTGATTTGGTGTGTTTAATTTCAGCACTGGATTGCCAACAATGTGCTAGGGTTGGCTTTTGCTGTCAATGGCGTAGAACTCCTTCAACTAAACAGGTACGTGATTTAGACGCAGAATGACCCCATGCGAACTGGGTAATTTAATTATCTGTACTGTCATTTTTTAGTGTGATAACTGGATGTATATTACTTGGTGGTTTATTTATTTATGATATTTTTTGGGTAAGTCTCTATATATAAAGATTATAATTTGCTTAGACCCCTTTTAGATAAGAATCTGCTCAGGCTAGAATTTCAAATCAGATTATTATATCAAATTAGAGCTGTGCGGTTAACGGAAAAATTCGGTTCTTCCGGTACTTTTTTAGCACCGAAACATTATACGCAAAAGTACCGGTAGTTTCGGTTTTAATTTCCCGTTTAACGCCCGCCAAACGCCCACCTGATTGCAGGTTGAAATGTTTGGAAAATAACAAGATTGTGCTCTGTGCACAATATGCACTGTACTAAGTGCTCAAATAGTTGATATTTTAGTTGTGATAGTTATTGCATGTTGTGCTCTTGCTTTAAATTTTTTTAAAAAGAAATATTTTATGTTCATAAATAAATTCCAATTGTATGTTCTTTTAAATATTCAGAGATTTATAATACAAACTTACAAAGGCATAAAAAATTCATCTATTTAGTAAAAATGGTAGAAACGTACATAAATGAGTTCATACATTTGTACTGTTCTTCTTTCTTGAAAATAACCGAAACCGAACCGAACCGAGGTTTTTCTGTTCCAAAAATCCGGAACTGGAACCGAGATAAAATTTTTGGAACCGCACAGCTCTATAACAAATAGAGTCAAAATTAATTAAGTCATAAGTTACAATCAGTGCATATATAGAGTTGGTATAGTGCATATACTGTCATTTTTTTATCACAATATATTATATAAATCATATAGAACCTATTTAATAACCTGTTTACTAGCCTGATTCTCTGGTAAGCACTATTGGCTAATAATGGTCGGCCAGGTTTCCAATATTTACATTGATTTGACCATTCATGACGGAAAGTTCCCGGTCCCTATTGTTTTCAAATTTTCTTCATGTCTGGTACCATAAGCGTTTGTTGCCCATCACGGGAAACCAAGAAAATGTTTTGTGTTCTTTTTTTCTTGCATACTTTTTGAACAGTACTTAATTGAAGTGAAACCTGCGTGTTTTATCTGATCGGTCAAATTGGATAGATGATTGCCACCTGTTATAATCCACAGTCTACACTGACTACAATTTTTTTTTTAGGTATTTGGTACAGATGTTATGGTTACTGTTGCAAAATCCTTCGAAGCTCCGATCAAATGTAAGTTGAGAACTATGGCGCTAGTTCTTATTAAAACTGTTGACTTGTACTACTTCTTAATAACTGGTTGCCATTAACACTAACTGCCTGAAACTTTTATTCAGTAATCTTTCCCATGGATATTTTGGAACGAGGTTTGGCAGCGAAAAATTTTGCCATGCTTGGATTAGGTGATATTGTTATTCCAGGTACACAAAAACTTCTTTGTTTAATTTAAATCATGTTTCTTTATAAAGTACATTTGATTACTGTAGTTACAATTACATTTCATAAATTTGATGTAATTTTTCTTTTCAGGCATTTTTATTGCTCTGCTATTAAGATTTGACAGAAGGTGAAGTTTTATCATGCATTTTATATATTAAATTATAATTTAACTGTACATATTTTACACAAATATTATAATAATATTTCTTTTGTATTTTCATTTAATCTCAGGCATGTTGGCAATGATTCTAAGCGTCCCATATATTTCTACTTGACAATGGTGGCATATTTTCTTGGACTGGTATTAACAGTTTTAGTAATGCATGTTTTCAAGGCGGCACAGCCTGCATTGCTGTACCTTGTGCCTGCTTGCCTTGGTGCTCCAGTTCTTCTCGCTTTGGTCAAAGGCGAAATAAAAAATCTCTTTACGTAAGTAATTTTATCACTTTATGAAAATGGATGCGAGAGAATGATGACTGAAAACCGCGGGATCAGTAAAATTGTCTCATCTCAGCTTGCCGGAATGTAGTCGGCCTTTACAAAATCTTCATTTGACTGTATCAATATTTCATTTGACTGTATCATATAAATCATAATACCTTGAAAATGGCTATAAAATGACACACGATGCATGTCTTCCAATCATATAAGATTTTACACAATCTTTCTTGCAACGGCCAATAGACAAGAATTATAATTCTATTTCTATTTTATTTAATCCAGATATCAAGACCATACTGAAGACGCGTTGAATAATAAAAAAACCGATGGCGCGTCCGGTGAAAACACGAGCAAGGAAAACGAAAACAAGGAAAGCGAAAACAAGGAAAATGAAAACAAGGAAAATGAAAACAAGGAGTCGGTAGAAAGTGATGAAACTAAGAAGTCCATGTAAATAATGTAACTTCAAACATAGAAAATGAACATGGTTTTATATAGGAAGGCCATACAGCGTACTTCAAAGCTGTACAGTGGGTTTTTCGATCAACTTCGAATGTATTGACAGCTACACATGAGAGTGTGAAAATGATATAGGTAAATATCAAGATTTTGTTGGCATCCCACTCGATTCAATAGTTGAAAGGCTGTAATTGTTGATGGAAGATAGGGAGCTTCAGCATGTAGGACGGCAACACGACGACGACGGCCAAAACAAGTTCCTTCAAATAAATGATAGTAAAGAAAACTTGTCGTATATTATAATTTGTATGAATTTAATACAGTATAAGAAGTTGAAAATATTGGCTTTAAGTAGTATTTAAAACACGAGAAGGAGTGTTTTATCATATTTAGTTTTAGATATGATAAAACGCGCGTTCGAGTGTTTTGAATAGCTTAAAATACGACTACAAAAGAATACTAATTAAGATGAACAATTATATAATCATACTAATTAGGATGAACAATTATATAAAGAATACTATAATGAAGATGAGTTTTATCAAAATATAAAGTCACTCCACGTGACATTTTATGGCTGACATGATTTGCCACAAGGTTTATGAATTTTTAATGATATTTCAAGTTTGGGAAGAGTTGCACTGAACCACATTTTAAGTTGCACTTGTTACGGCTTGAAATGCAGGCGTTGTATAAAAGCGTGAAAATCTGTGATTTGCCGTTGTAAACAGAGCGACGACTACGTATGAAACTCCCCTGGGACTTTAATTATTTATTTCTTTTCATTGACTCATTGTATTAGTTGCCGTCGTCGTCCTGTTGCCGTCCTACATGCTTAAGCTCCCTATTGCACCCTTCGCACCCTCCAACAACACAGCAACTTCAAGCGTGTTGGCACGTAATATATGGGAGTGAGAAAACGATGCCAAATGTTTCCGTTGCAAGGTCAATAAATATTGTGAACAATTTAATCCCTCTCAATTCTATTTATTAGAGACCTTACGATTTTAGGACGGCAACGCGACGGCAACGGCTACCAATACAATAGATCATTGAAAAGAATTGAGTAATTACAATAAATGAATAATTTAGACATTGTCCTCGCTCTGTTTACAACGCCAAATCACATATTTTCACGTGTTGATACAACGGCTGCATTCCAAGCCACAACAAGTGCAACTTCAAACTGGGTTTAGCAGAACTCTTCCCCGAACCATAAAACCCATGTCTTCAACTTCTAAGACTGTATTAAATTCATACGATTGATAATATACGACGAACTATCGACTACCATTTATTTGAAGGAGTTTGTTTTGGCCGTCGCGGTTGCCGTCCTAAAATCGTAAGGTCTCTATTTACCCCCATGCGGTACTTATACCTTCATTAAATGAAAAGAATGTTAATTCTATTAGATATAGAATATATTATGTGTTTAAAGATTTGAATCCAGGAATAATATATCTAATACGCCCTTTTGATAATTACGTCATTTGGCCTGGGAGCCTCGCTCTCATGAACCGTGAGCCAATCATCTTGCGTACTTTACTAATGAGAGCGAGGCTCCAGGACCAAAAAGTATGTGTGACGTAATTGTCGAAAGGGTGTATTGTGAAAGTTCTCCGGATTGCTTAATGAAACGTATCTATACGACTTTTCCACTTTCCAAACCATGTTTATTTTCTATATTAACTTCAAAACTATAGATGTATTATCTTATAAGGAAAATGTATTTTAGTCAATATTGCGCCTGGTTATGTTGGGCTTTACTTTGGAATTTAGAAATATTTGCTATTGAATTATTTGTTAGCTCAGTGAGATTGGAATTCGTCTATTCGTCTGAATGTATTTTGTCACGAGAGAGAGGAATCGAATGGAATCCCAGAAACGCTCGTAAATATGTCCTATTTACCTTCTATGCAATTTCCATCACTGTCCGTCCTGTTTGGCACATCAAAAAACGTTATAGACTTTTGCATGAAAATTTCAGCGATTTTTACTGTATTTCTTTCGAATATTACAAAGTGTTTTCCAGATATCAAGAAAATTAAGGTCTATTAGTATTCACTTACTATTTATATGAAGATGCTATCAGTTCAAATTCAATTATAAAGCGTTCATTTTGTTGTTTTGCAACTACTATTATAATATCATTTCAGTTATAAAGCGTTCTTTTAGTTGTTTTGCAACTTGGCCTTTCTATTTCCATACAAAAAAAAATACACTTCCATATGGGATGTTCCGTTGTTGTTATGATCAGTATAATCATAAAGATCTTCGCTGTACCATATTCTGATTTTCCTGCCTCCTTCGAAATACTGCGGCGCGCAGAAGTCACTAAAGACCAGGTAAGGAGATGTACTGTTGTATCCGGGCATTCGATACAAACCATGCCAGGTCAATTGAGTTACGAAGGGGGAAGGATAGATGATCCTATTTTCAACATCTGTGATGACGGTCGCGAGAACTTGGGATTCATTCACTAACCCCCAGTAGGAGTTTGTGAGTCCCTTCCGGTTGGACATATAACCTTTGGTGTGCACGAGTTTCACGGCACCAACAAAAGAGCTTGGACCTTTATACACCAATTCATGATAGCTGTTGTCCTTGGCACCCACTGCAGCCTGGCCAACGTGAAGCCAGTCGCCTATAATAGACAGGCTCGGTTTAGATGGCGAACTTTTCATGCCCAAACCAATCAAATTAAATACGGCACAAGTTCGGCAACTGCTTTAGACGTTGTACTTGTACACAGTAGGCTATACGTTTCCGGGCATTTTTTAACAGACTGGGGGGGGCAAGGCCCCCGGGCCCGAGTTGGCCCCCAGTTAACTATTTTGGCTCCCTGGAAAACTGGAAAACAAAATTTGACATTAGCATAATTTCAGTATTGAAAAATTATTAAACCATCCGCCTAACGTCTTTCTATTCTATACAATTTTTTTTAAATTTCCATATATTGAAAAAGCATATAATTTTATACAATATATGAAAGTTTCAAAAACCGGGGTGATTGTTTGGAAAATGTCTTTTCTGGACTGCTTTTGAGGCGCGTTTGTTGATTTGAATTGTGTGGAATAAAACTAATTAATTTTAAAAAATAAATCAATAATTAATTAATTAATAATAATTAATTCGTTAATAAGAACTGTATAATTTCTTTTCTTCTAATTCATTTGGAAGAGAAGAAGTGGATATTTGTTTTTTCATTTTACTTTTGAGTGAGTTCACATGTCGAATGTCATGTTGAATCTCATGCGTACTTCACTCCGTGTCACGGAGGCGAATGCTTTATATATAGCTTGTGAAACGTCTCGATGAGAACATTCGTATTCTTCAACAATTTAAAATAAATGAATGATATTTGGTGAGAAAATTTTATGTAAATCAACATGATTCGGTATCAGATATATAAACTCCTTCACGCTCATGATTTCTTCAGTCATGAATTATTAACTGAGTTAATACAATGTACGTAGTGAAAATTTATGCATCATGTTCGGCGCATGAAAAGCACGGCGTCTACACCCATGTGTCGAACCTGTGTCGCATAATACGCGACATGATTTGCCGTATTTTGTGCCGTGTCGAACCTAATTAAAATTTGTCGGACTTGTTAATTGATTTAGGTGCTCTTCCAAAAGTTCGCCGTCTAAACCGGGCCTTATTGGATGAGGTTTCTGTGATATCCAGAATTGTCGAGCCAGTCGAGGTAAGTGGTGAAGAGCAGTCGAGCTGAAGGCGAGATTGATAACACTTACTGAGACCTTGATAATTCGGAATTTAATAACTTAATTAGGCCTAACTGTATTTTCGTGAACTCTCGTTTGGTTCTCAAAACAAAGAAGCTGAAAACGATTTAAAATATATCACAATAGCTACTGAAGTTTCGATAAAAATGTCAAAAAGGTTTGTTTCATTTGCACAATACTTGACCCAATAAGTGAAATAACATACCTGCGTTCGCGAAATGAATAAAGCACAACAGCAACAACACTTTGGAGGACATATTGACTGAAGATTTCTCCTGATTTCAATCTTTTCCTTCGCTCACGGCAACAATGAATATGCGGGGCAAAAGCCAATTCGTCTCAAAATATAACTCGAAGTTATAGCATTTACGGGAGCAAAGGCCTTTCTGAAAGCAGTCAGTCAACGCCTTGATGCTGATGTAATTATGTAATTAAAGGGATCGCCTTATTTGGGTAACCCGTATTTGGGAAGTCGTAAGTATTTTCCGCGTTTTTTGGTTTTCTCCCACAGACAGTGAGACAGTGCTGACAGGATGGGTTGTTGATGCGTTGTTGATTAAAGGCACAGTTCAGCCTGTTGAATGATGGTTTTTAAGGCGCAATTCAGCTCTTTTAATTGAAAATACTAACTAGGAAAATCACTTAAGCATAATTCAAGATCACCAAACTCAATGTTTTTAACATTTTAAAATATTTTTATTGGTAAAAACATCGAGTTTACTGATTTTGAATTATACTTAATTGATTTTCCTAGTTAGTTTTTTCAATTAAAAGGGCTGAAATGCGCCTTAAAAACCATCGTTCAAAAGGCTGAACTGTGCCTTTAAAGAGTCGAGGTTGTTTTTTCAAGTGCTATGTGTATACTATGTACTTCATATACAGATATACTGTTACTAAAACTAGCTAGAAAATTTCTCAAATTTTGTTAATGTCATTACTAATTTTATATTAAGAAATCCTTAATATTAGAGTCTTTTGTTGTGGATTTACGGTGATATATCGTTATCGCTAGCAAGTCCGCGTCCGCATTTTATCCACACCTCGATTGTTGCTGAAACTCATGACAAATATATGATGTTATATTGTTCACTCGGTAATATGATAGGATGAAATGTTTTCAAGTCAATGATTCCAAATCGCGCAAGCACAAAATTTTGCCCTGCTGCGGCTGCGTTTCGAACCTGCGACATTCCCCTCTGCAGAGCCGTATATCTGAGTGTTTAACTAATTACTCTTCGGAGGAGAGTGAACCCGCGACCTTCGAAGCTCCACCAACTGAGCCACACAGTAAGGTCCGATTGAGGACCGGAAAATATTGAATTTGTTGTGGCGGGAGTCTCCAGCCAAATGCGGGAGATTTTGTAAGTCTGTTTTTGTAATAATTGTTATTAATAATTTGTAATCGGTCCATGCATGTCCACATTTGGCTTTGATTTGACTATAGTTCAGTGCTCCTCTTCGGGAAACTAAGTACTAAAAAGGTCTAAAAATACAAAAAGGAAGATGGCGGCAAAAAATCAATGTTTTAAAATAGAAATGTATAAATTTTTCAAAATATTTTCAGAAAAGCCAAAAAGTTCACACATGTCACACATATATCTTATACCAAACGACACAATTACCTGTTTTCTTGGCGTTATCCCAAGTTAGCATGCCAAACTAAAGATATTTGCATAATTGCATTTCTAAGCAAGAAAACACAACATGTATTTGATATTTCGACGAGACTAAAAACTTTTTTGTGCCTGTTTAAGTGTTTTTCTGGAGATGCGCCTGCGAAAACATGTACGCGCATGTCAATTCATTGATCTTGCAGACTGCTCGAAAAACTTTCGGCCGAGCGATTGAGATACCACAATAAAACGGCGTAATTCAAAATTTTGCACAATTTTGCAAAACGATAACTTCTTTTAAAACAAATAGAATATCAAAATTTCAAAAATCCAAATCCGCAATTTTTTATTATTGGCTATTCTAATCTACAGAATTTTTTTATTTTCAGAGATAAGATTCCGCATTAAAAGTGAGAGCTATACAGCAGTTAAATATGGGGTGTCACCGGCAATATTCGGAAAATAAAAATTTAGCAAAAAATACCATAGTTTGGCGAGACTACTGTTACCATGGAAACAATATTATGTTCAAGAATATTGCAAAGTTTTTCTATCAAATACTTAATTTATACTCGGGAATGCTTAAAATTAATAGATGAAGTGATAAAAATTATAAATTGAAATTTTTACGCGAGAAGGTATTTATACTACGGAACTGTATGGAGCCACCAGGATTTTATAGATGAAAATTTCGAGTGTAAAATTTATAGATTTATTTTGACCTAACCAGGGAGGTCAGGGAGTAGTTGCCAAAAATGCAACAATAGTCCCTCTGGCAGGAATGGAACCTGCTGCCCTGCGATTCCGATGCAGCGCTCTAACCAAACAACTGAGCTACAGAGTCCTGGGGCCGGTTGTATCAAGCCCGTTTAGCTTAAACGGTGGATAAGTCAAAATAAAATAACACTCTTTTCTCTCTCGTGAATCAGTCAACTTAAATATTCTGCACTGAATATGTAGTTGCAAACATTATCGTTCTATTAAAGTTCAAAACGTTTAGTTTGGTTGTTGAATGAATCTATAGACTTGCTTTCTATTTTGAGCTTAACCACTGTTTAAGCTAAACGGGCTTGATACAACCGGCCCCAGTTGTCGAGCTCTAACCGCAAGTTCATGTATGTATACTAAGGTGGTGCCAATGTAATTCAGGTGTATGGGTAACTATCAGGATTTGGGGCATCTAGGGCCTGTTGTTCAAAGTTGGTTAGCGCTAACCCTGGGTTAAAATTAAACTTGTTGTTTTATAGTTCGTGTATTTCTACTTGTCTAATTACTTCAGAGAAGTAAACTCTTATTGATCCAGACAAGATATCTGAAGAAATATTTCCAAATTTATAGACAAGCTGTGAGGAAGTTTGCTTTGAATTTTAGGTTAATCTAGGGTTAAACTCAACCCAGCTTTGAACAACCGACCCCTGCACTCGACTGAACTAATGTTAAAGGGTTTTGTCGATGGAAATTTTGAGTGAGAATTTTATATATTTATTTAAACTTAACCATGAGCAGTTCCGAAAAATGCAACTATATAGGCCCTCTGGTATCCATTTTGGATGATTAGCATACCCCCACTTACTTACCCCAAGCTAGTTGGTAATCACTTCCTCTCGCTTGAGTAGATATTTTCTCTAAATCACGTAATTCCCTTTCGTTGTAGTAAATTTTGCTCAGATTGTTCCTGATAGGATGCTGGTATTTTTTCCATCTTATGGAACTCTGGACACATCTTTGAAACATTGGCAGGTATTTAAAATGCACTCTCATGCAGGAATTATATATTGAATAATTGTGTTATAAAATATGTTTTTGTAGTCTTCATATTCTGTTACTACTAATAGTAGAATATTTTGTTAATTTTTTAATTTTCTCAAATTTTGTTAATGTTATTCATTTTGTATTAAGAGATGCTTAATATTAGAGTCTTTTGTTGTGGATTTACAGTAATATATCGTTTTCGCCAGCCTGTCCGCGAGTCCGTGTCCGCATTTTATCCACACTCTCCGCGGACATAGCACACCACAACGTGATCACGTAGATTTTACTAATTAATCACGTAGACTTTACACCTCATAGCAAATGATGTTATGTTGTTCACTCGCCGGTAATACGATAGGATCAAATGTTTTCGAGTGAATGATTCCAAATCGCGCAAGCAGAAAATTTTGCCTGCCGCGGCTGGGTTTCGAACCCGCGATACTCCTCCGCTGAGTCATTCTGTGGCAGAGCCGTATATCCGCGTGTTTAACTAATTACTCCGCGGAGGAGAGTGAACCCACGACCTTCGAAGCTCCACCAACTGAGCCACGCGGTAAGGTCCGATTGAGGACCGGAAAATATCGAGTTTGTTGAGGCATAGCTGGTTTGGCAATCATTAGAATAACAATATAACTCATTAGAGAGCTTAATTAAACTTCGCGTTTTACGTCAAACCGCAAATGCCAGGCAAAGAAAAAAATACGGTATCAGGCAATAAAGAGTAAATGAACTTCCTGTTTTAAAACTGCAATACATGATAATTCTTTCGACACAAGAAATAAAATATGAAACGAAAACGTTCAACGAAAATTTTGCCAAGAAAATTCGAACCTGCTGTTCCCGGAAACGGGAAGCTTACAGAATACGTGTATACTGCACGATTCTGTCTGTATGTCCACAGGAAGATTGTGAAACAAGTTAAAATGGTCAGCTGTAAAATTGAAATTAAGCACTCACCGGCTCCAAGGCGAATACTCTTACTAAACAGCCATAATCCTTAACACCAGTAGGTTTTCGCATTGCTATTGGTTAGTTGGGCCAAAATACAATACACACGTGACGGTGAAGGACCAGATTCACGAATAAACGTTGACTATTATTGTTATTCTAATGAGCTTCCAAACCATCTATTCTACCCAGTATTAACTATTAACTATGGTTGAGGCGGGAGTCTTCAGCTAAATGCGGGAGATTTTGTAGGTCTGTTTTTGCAATAATTGTTATTATAACAATTTGTAATCGGTTTATTTTATTTTTCATGCTCTGTTTTTCATGCATGTCCAAGTTTGTCCAGGTTTGGCTCATAGTTCAGTGCTCCTCTTCGGGAAACTAAGTACTAAAAATACAAAAAGGAAGATGGCGGCAAAAAATCAATCTTTCAAAATAGAAATGTGTAAATTTTTCAAAATATTTGTTGTTTTATCTAAAAATGTTGTTGTTTGAACACTTGAGTGATGTCTCTAGTCAATATAAAAGGTGTGGAAATCAATTTTCCATACAAGCCTTACGACTGTCAAGTAAAATATATGGAAAAAGTGATTCAATGTTTGCAAGAGGTTTGTATATTAATAAATTTTAATATATTCTTGGTGTTTAAAGGGAAGGATCAAATATATGTTTCTGCAAAAAATGACGTCTTTTACAAAACCCCCTTCCTACCAAATAGTATAATATGAGGGGTCATTGACATTACCATATAATGACGTTTTTTATATGGTCAGAGAGGGGGGAACATTGGGATTTACGGTATGGCGGTATGAGCTTATTTTTCTTACTGTATTTCGGTATTTTCCTTGAAAAATTGCGGTATTACGATATTGAAAATCTTGCGGTACACGGTATTTGTAATTTTGGACTCAAAAACTGCTGCGGTTATTGACAAAATTTGCTTGCGGTATTACAGTATTGAATACCCTCCAATGCCCCCCTCAAGAGACTTTTTGACATGTTGGTCAGAAACCTGAAACCAACAATTTTTTGTTTTGCCTTGATGATGGGACAATTTTAGAAAGTTTGAAAAATTCACTGTCCAGGGGCCAAACTACTGGGGGGAGGTGTGTGACCCCCCCCCCAGTCTCTATCCCCCAGTGTATATCCAATTTCATTGGGCAAATTTTGAAAATATTCGAGTGTCTCGGATTGACAAGTAAGTCTGTAATAGTTGTGGGAAAAAGTTTGATAAGTTTACGAAAATATAACTGAAAAAGTTTACAAATTAGCACATCATACACATCTTTTTAACCAATTACGAGAAGAAATTAGGAACTGCAGAGACTACAGCGTATTCTACAATGAGACCAAGAATTTTTTAGTCTTGAAAGCATGGTCAAGACTTGGATAATGTTAGAAAGAAACATTCAAATGTATATAGTTTTGTACAGTTTTGTTCTAACTTAATTAATTTGTAATTTTGTACGTTTTGGGAAAAGAAATATTAATTAGCGACTGAAATGTTCGTCTGTTGGGAACGACTTTGGCCACGTTCTTTTGATCGGGCAAAACAAGTCCCCCCCCCCAGCCATAATACCAAAGTTTTGCCCCTGTCACTGTCTGGTAGATAGGGCCATCTGGCCTTCATCCAACCGACCTCTCAACATTAGAACCACACAATTTACTGCAGGGTAAGAATGGCATTCTTGAATCACCGACTGGAACTGGGAAGACCTTATGTTTACTCTGTGCGACTTTGGCTTGGCGTGACACGTATCTAGCTCACTTACAGCTGAATTTGAAAGTTCAGGAGAGAAAAGCTAGTGGTCAGTTTTGTGATGACTTACAGGAAAACCTAGGACAAGCAGCTGTTGGGTGGACTTCAGAAGAAAATGATGGTAGGTTTTTATATACTGTACAGGCCTCAAATTAGGAGTCAGTTGTTTTCATTGCTAGTCAGTTTGTTGGTTGGCCAGTCAGCCAGTAATTCCGCAGGTTTGTTTAATGGTCTCTTGGTTGATGCGGGTTGGTTGGTCAATTGGTCGGTCGGTTGGTCAGCCAGCCAGCCAGTAGTTCCACAGGTCGGTTGGTTGGTTGGTAGATTGGTTGCAAGGCCGAATTTTGGTGGAAATAGTGGGGTAAGTTGAAATAAATTTAGGGGAGGTGCAACGGTCTAGCTCACGACCCCCATGGAAAGTTAGGGCTTAGAACGGGCCAAAGTCAACAGTGTGATGTATGCATGTAATGTACATTCAGTGTATTAAATTATTATTGTGACTGTACAATACATCCAATTTTGCCCTTCATTACAATTACTACAAAGTTTCATTGCATTAAAAGGGTACTTGACACAGAGATGAATGGCCATCACTATTTCAATTTTACAGAAAAACTTTCTTACGAAATGTAGATCCTAAGCAACCAAAAAATATCAAATTTGCACTTCGATCTATCATTGAAACTTTCCCAAGGGGAGGTGCATGACTTTTCAGGAGATTTGCAAAAATTCTCAGGGAAGGTACAAAACGATCTCAGAGGAGGTGCGGACCTCCCCACACCTCCCCTCAAAATCCGGCCATGATTGGTCAGTGAGTCTGTCACTCAGAAGATAGGATGTGCCTTTGTGCTTGTGCATCATGGGCTATTGCCTGTTTTGCAACTCTTTTTTTCTATTAAAGCACCTGAATACGATGTTCCGAAAATCATCTACACGTCAAGAACGCATTCGCAACTAACCCAGGCTGTGAATGAACTGAAGAACACAATATACAAGTGAGTTTTGGATAGAGATGTAGACACGTTTGTGTCTGTTGCTTTCTGCAGCCGATTCAGGTTGAGCGTTTAAGGGAAATCTCAATTCCTGGGGAGCAGAACGGTGGGATAACGACTGGGTATGGCGTATGGGTAGGTTAGGGTGTGAGACAGGTTTAAGAAAAAAGATTGTCTGAAAAAAATTAATACTGCATGTACGCAGGGGTAATACTAGGGACAGTTAATTAAAAAACCTGTATTTTTTATGATCTATTGTAATATACTTTGTCAGATTAATAGTTGTACCACTTTGGTAATTGGGATCTGCTGTCAGATAAGTATCCACAGCCATTTAATTTAAACAGAAAAAACGAAGGGCTGTTCGAGCGAAGGGCCGTTGTCAGTGACGAAGGGCCGTTGTCAGTGACGAAGGGCTTTGTTCGAGACTTTAAGAAGTGTAGTTGTCGTGAATTTCATTATTTATATTGTATGTTTAACAGAAGTACTAAGCCCATTTTCCACTAGACAAATTTGTTCGCGCGAAGCGAAAAACAAATCTTAGCAATGTGATTGGCCAGCGAAAAAATTTTGCTGTGAAAAAGTTGGATCAGTTCCTACTTTTTCACTGTTCGCGCGAACAAATTTGTCCAGTAGAAAATGGGCTTTAATCGCGATTGTAATAATCGTAGATTGTGATCGTAGACGGAGATTGAGCCGTTAATTTTATTGTTGTTTTAGACCCAAAGTATGCGTGTTAGGATCACGTGAACAATTGTGTATTCATCCCCAGGTTCTTGAACAAGAAACACACACAGCCAAGGTAAGTGTAGATACATTAATTTAGCTTGATCATTGGTGTGTGTGTGTGTGTGTGCGTGTGCGTGTGCGTGTGCGTGTGTGCGTGTGCGTGCGTAAAAGTGGGGGGGGGGGGTTGGGGTGGTCTGCAGTACCGGGTAGTTAAATTTAATGATGCTGTCACTTACGTTTGTTCGTTATTTTTTCAGATGCACTTGTGTCGCACTAAAGTGGAAACAAAGAAATGTCATTTTTATAATAACCTGGAACAAGGTATTTACACTAGAGCTCAGAAAATTTGTTTTTCTGCAGTTTCTTGTCGACAAATTGGCAATCGAGGCTGAGACACCAGCAGTATGAAGTATTTCGCCTCAGTCACATGCGAGAAGAATTTTTCCAGTTTGATTTTACCATAATATTAAACACCAGGATAGCGTGATCCATACACTTGGGATGTTGCTCGACTTTCGGAAAGCGTAAAAGACACTCGCCTGCGGCTCGAGTATTTTTACGCTTTCCGAAAGTCTCGCGACATCCCTCGTGCATGAATCACGCAATCCTGCACGGAAAACCATTCGGTATTCCTTTAAGAACTGATTGAGCTATCCAGTATCAAGACAGTTTAGCCTAGGTTTCCTCCTGTAGTATCAAAGAAGAGAGCAATAAGGAATGACCTTTGCTGGAGCTCTAGGGAGAACAATTTAAAACTGATAGCGCTATTCATGTAGTTTAGATAAAGTTAGTTTAGGTTTGGTTTCATCCTGTAGTAACACTGGGTCAATAATTTCTGGTGGTATCAGGGCTCGAAATAACGGCCGATCAACGATCAACGATCGGCAGGAAATTGTTTTTGATCGGCGAAGAAGCAAGGTTGCTGTTCATCTTGATCGGCAAGAAACATATTTCCTGCATTGTCTGAAAGACATGATTACAGTACGTGTACACGGTAAAAGACAAATAAAAATAATATGAAACACGTTCAAAAACACGCGAAAAACTCTTGTTTAGTTGATACGAGTCATACGACAGGTCGCAATGCTATGAAGTATTGTCTCTTCAACGGTCTGCAATCCGAACCACTGACGACGAACGTATTTGTCATAATAATTTCAAATTGATAGGATTTTCTGAGTAGTATTTTTTTATTTTTAGTTGGATTTTCTCTTTTAATATTAAATAATAAGTTTTAGTTCTTAATTGATAATGCTGCTGTCAGTGTTTCTTGCTTTTGTGTGAAAAAATGCAATACTATAATTAAAACTTGAAAAGTGTTATAATAAACTAAAGTTTATTACTGTAATACATGTTAAATGTAGTTACACTATTAGTATTGTCAGTATCGTATATATAAGTCCACAAATGTCATAGATTTAATTATTTAAACTCGAATTTAAAATGAAGTTAAACCTCCTGCTCAGATGTGTATTTACTGGCATATTTAGAATTTTTTCAAGGAAATGAGGGAAAATGCTCCTGATCGGCCAAATTTTTATTTGATCGGCAAAAAGTCGTGATTCCCGATCACCGTGATCGGGAAACGTTATTTCGAGCCCTGCGGTATTTCGGACCTCCAGGGAGAACATGCGGTTCCTCCTATAGGATAATCCTGCATCAATAAGGGATGACCCCTATGCTGGGTCTTTAGGGAAAACGTTTCGACATTCTGTACATGTAGTTCAGTTTTAGTTTGAAACTGAGCAACTTCAGCGGGGAATTAAACAAGGATATACTCTATAATTTGGTAGAGGATACGGGTAACAAGGAGTTATCATCAGAGATCTTGGATATTGAAGATTTGGTTGGATTTGGAAAGAGGCAAAGGTGAACGGCTACAATCTAGGCTTGGGCGGTTTTCGAAAAACCCCGAAAACCGACTGGAAAAACCGAGGTTTTTGTCCGCCATCTTGACGCTTGAGACCCCTTTAATTAACTCTTTATTGAATTTTCCCGAAACGACACAAAAACCGGACTGTGAAAAATAATACTAAGGTCAATTATACAGTTTTTTCTTCTAAAATACTTCATAACTAAAACGAGGAATGCCGAACACCAAGAAACGAAAAGAAAAGAAGATTCGCCTCAGGCTATAACCCCATTCTGATCAGGCTTCGTCGCTTTTCAGCCGCGTGTATAGGTTCACATATCGTGTGAACGAATGGTGATAGCAAAGAATTGTTTTGGGACTGGGATCACTTTCTATGGCATGGGACATATAGGGAATGGGTTAGGGCCTTAGGTGTCCCTGACCTAATCTACTCCTATATGTCCCCATAAATGTCCGATAGAAAGTGATCTCCAAAATTCTGCATGGTGATATACGTACTGATATACGATTCTTCGGTCGGTTTTTTCGGTTTTCTGATATAGGCGAAACCGTAAAACCGGTTTTGAGAAAACCCCGATATTTATCGGCTTACCGATATACTACCCCAGCCTACTTCAAACATGGCAAAAAACAGTTCGCAGAACGACTGAGCGGCCTAAGAGCCTTCGCTCAAAACGTCGAAGTCTTATTTGTGTTTTTCAGGTAGTTGAATTCCTCTCACAGCTTTCTGGTGTAATAATAAGTATATTTTTTTACTATTTCTAGTTGTTGTCCATATTACCTGTCCCGAAATCAGAAGAAGGTTGCAGAGATCGTATTTATGCCATATAATTATTTGATTGATGCCAAGGTAAACTTGCTAGAAACGTTACTATAACTTTGTACATTTTCGCATTAGACTGTATCTGGACTTCAGAGAGTATGTATCTTAGAGATAAAAGCGCAGAAATTATATAGAGTTATCCCTTATAAACGAAGTTAGTTTATCTCGATCGGTGCCAGTGGAGGTATGAGTACAAGCAGCAATCTTTATAGGCGATTACGAGTAATATTTTTAAGGCAAATTTACATAATCAAGTCTAGACTGTTTTATCTGTACAACAATTGTGATATTTCTTTCTTAACTATGTTTAGCCCACCTGTCTTAACCCACCCTGTCAATTTTTCTTGTGGGAGGAAACCGGAGCGCCCGGGGAAACCCACTTTCGGCAAAGCGTTGACTGACTTTTTTCACATTTGTCCGTATAGCGAGAATCGAACCCACGATCTCGAGCTACATTCTGATTGAATAAATCTTATTTTTCTTTCATTTTAGTCAAGAAGTGCAAACAGTATTGACATTTCCAAAAGTGTAATTCTTTTTGATGAAGCACACAATATAGTAAGGAGATTACATTAATTTACTATTTATCTGGAGTAACGAGGAAAACATGTCTTCTATATGACAGGTTGTCATGAACTGTCAAAACTGCAAATACACTTGGGTTTCCAATTACATTGTTATATTCTCACCAGGAGAGTAGTGAGTGAAAACTGGCTGATATTATACCTGATTCATAGGAACGTATCTGTGAGGAAGCAATGTCGTTTGATCTTACTTCGTTCGATATTGCAAGTTGTATTGAAGATCTTGATAAATGTTTGGACACTTTATCGAACATGGAGGAAGATGGAACATTGTCCTTGGTTGATGATGGCGGGAACTCGGGTAAAAGGATTTAAACTGATATTATTTGATGATTTTTGGTTGATAATTATTGATCTATGATTATTGGTCTATGATTACTGATTGATGATTATTACTAGATGATATCATGACGATTATTGGTTGATGATTATTGATTGATGATTATTGATTGATGGTTATTGGTTGATTATTAAATTGTGGATACAACGTTTTACCATTAATATACGATCCGTAATTTTTATCTACGTAGGTGATGGTTTGGATAAAAAGGAGATTGCTTATATGAAAGGTATGATATTCCTTAGGTATTTGCTATTCCGGGCTTGTGTTTATTATGGTATTGATAAGATCGTGATGATGCCGATTACATAAATATCAAATGTTCGCTTTGTTATCAAGGTCTGCTCCTATTGTTGGAAGAAGAAATTCACAATATTATTTCTTCATCTTCCCAAGGAATTACAAAACCTGGCAGGTAAAATATTTTAGGTGATTCAGGTCTTGCAGTCCTATGGGAATAATAGAGAGCTCAAGATCTAGGACGCGGCCGGCTCAACAACGCGGTTTGAATTTCAGCTCAAGAATGAGCGCTAAGTAATTTCATTACTGTAATAAATGTTTTAGGATTTTTCAAATAACATTACAAACTGCTATAAGTTGGACTAAAGCCATGTAATGTTTGCTGTAATTTCGACTTTAAGTAACACCCCTTGGGTTGCAATAAGCCTTCACGTTGCATGAAAGACGTAATAATGCTACGTTTAACGGTGTGTTTTTTTCTTTCTTTCGCAAGCGCGTCGTTGAACCAGCCGCGTCGTAGATCGTAAGCTCTCTATTATGTCAGTTACGAAATCTTCTCTAATAAGCCCCCCTCTCTAATGAGCCTCCCTCTCTAATAAGCCCCCCTCTCTAATAAGCCCCTTCTTTAATAAGCCCTTCTCTCTAATACGCCCTTCTCTTTAATAAGCCCTTCTCTAATAAGCCCCCCTCTCTAATAAGCCCCCCTCTCTAATAAGCCCCTTCTTTAATAAGGCCCTCTCTCTAATAAGCCCCTTCTTTAATAAGCCCCTCTCTCTAATAAGCCCCTTCTTTAATAAGGCCCTCTCTCTAATAAGCCCCTTCTTTAATAAGCCCCCCTCTCTAATAAGCCCCTTCTTTAATAAGCCCCTCTCTCTAATAAGCCCCTTCTTTAATAAGCCCCTCTCTCTAATAAGCCCCTTCTTTAATAAGCCCCCCTCTCTAATAAGCCCCTTCTTTAATAAGCCCCTCTCTCTAATAAGCCCCTTCTTTAATAAGGCCCGGTTTAGACGGCGAACTTTTCATGCGCCGAATCTAATGCAAGGATTAAATGCGACGCTGGAGCGGCGTCTAAATCAAATAAGTTCGGCAGATTTTGATTAAGTTCGACACGACTCGAAGATGCGACAAGACAAGTCGTATATGCGACACAGGTTCGACATTGATTTAGACGTCGTGCTTTTCATGCGCCGAACCTAATGCATACTTAATTTTTTAACATTACAATATGATTATCATATATTTGCATTGTAAATATGTCCAATATAGTGTCCTCGCAATTTGGTACGGCACTATTAAGTTCGACGTCTAAATCAGTTTCCAATATTTTGCCGTATCTACGGCAATTAGATTCGGCGCATGAAGCCTAAGCCCCCCTCTCTAATACGCCCTTCTCTCTAATAAGCCCTTCTCTAATAAGCACCCCTCTCTAACGAGCCTCTCTGTCTAATAGCCAACCTGTCTAAAAAGTCGCCCTCTCTAGTAAACCTTCCTCTCTAATACGCCCCATCTCTAATACGCACCTGTGTCAAATAGGCTCTCCTCTTTTATAAACTCCCCTCTTTTATAAACTCTTTAAACATCCATTTTTTATATTACAATATTTTATAGTTACATATTTGAACTGTTGCGGAAAGTCAAAATCACACATGAAACCGAAAAACAGATCCTTGATCAGATTGAAAAAGTCTGTACATTTTTAGTCGCAAGTAAGTTTTATTTTCACACACAGTTACAACTTACATGTGAGTTGTGAGGAAAGTGCTTTCATTTTGAGAAGGGTGAACAGCTTTGAACTGATAGAGCAAATAAAGATGGTTTAGTCTAGGTTTTGTCCTGTATAGTAACACTGTACTAATATAACCTTACTGGTCCCTTATCTATAACTGATAGAACTATCCCGCATAACTAAAAGTAGTTTAGTTTATTGTAGTACTGGATCAATTAAAATCATTAGTTGCTCAAGGCGAGGTGATTACAAGCCTGTAGTCACTGAGCCGAACGCAAACAGTATGCATATTCAAAACAAAACAATCATACTCGAAAATAGTCCGAAATGCAAGCTAATTTCAAAAAAAGATGAAAACACAATATATATAGAAATGCATTGTAATTGTCAATCAGTGCTATTTCCTGGATCTCAAATATTATTTTAATTTTAGATCAAACCAGTGGCTTAAAACAAAAGCAATTCCTGTTGAGCAAGTTTGCTGATGCCTTGAAAGTACGTTTACACTTTAGTCTTCCGTAAATGAATCTTAAACTACAGAAAGATTTATGCTCAGCATTCTTCGTGGGGTTCAGTGTAGGTAGTATTTTGCAACAAGCTGCCGTATTTTGTGTCTGAACTACTTGAGAAAGGTACAGTATCTCAAACGTGAAGGTTCAGTAGGTGGTATTCTATAATAAGCTGCCATGATTTGTGTCTCAAAAGGGTGCAGTGTAGGTAGTATTCTAGAATAGTCTCCCGTGGTTTCTGTGTGAAATACTTCAAAAGATATCTCAAACGTGGAAGTCCAGTGTATAGGTAGTGTTTTACAATAGCCTGTCGTGGTCTCTGTCTGAACTAACTGAAAAATATACCTGAAACATGAGGGTGCAGTGTAGATAGTATTCTACAATAAATTGGCAAGGTTTGTGTTGGAACTATGGCTTTTTAAACGAAGCATTGCCGCTTGTATTGTATGACTTAGCAATATTTAATGTTTTTCTCATATAGATAGTTTTCCAAAACAGCGCTCCAACAGAGTCAGACAACGAGGATATATCTCGTTATTATAAGGTATGAAACATAATGGCGGTGGCATAAATTAACCCTTCTGTAACTTCAAGTTTAAACCTTTTAAACGTTTGCTCATACCCATATACAAGTGGGTTTCACCATGGATAATAAAATAAATGGATAGGACTCTAGCTGACGTAAGCAAAAACAACCTAGTTGCAATCTGTGACGTCACGCGTATTGCAAAGTTCTCGGCATTTTTGTTGTTTCGCTAGACTTTCTGCTTTAAGAGAGTAATATTGAAGCATCAACTGGTCTAATTGTTTCAAAAACACGCCTAAGCCACGACAAAGTATTCAAGGTAAATGTTTTTCGTCTTTGTTTTGTATTTTTTTACATTTGTAGCTACGAAATTGACGTCCCCAATTTTAACGAAATTTGGGATGCATTTTTCACTGTTTAGTGCTTGAAATATTCGCTAAAATTGACTGGGAATACTTAGAGATTTCATTGTAGATTGGTGTAGTTAAATTCATTTGCTCTTTGACTAAAATGTTTAGCTGCATTATTGCTAAACATGCCGTTTTTGAGAATTTGGTTTGCAACTAGGTTTCAACATCCAATCACGCCATCAGCCCATTGAAAACATTAGGTCACGTCAGCTAGTTTCCTATCCATTTATTTTATTATCCATGGTTTCACTGAGCACTATCGTGCAGCAGATGGTGGTCCCCTGCAAAAGCCTGCAATAGATGTTTCCAGCTATCAGGGCTTTCAAAATAAGCTGGCGGCCGCCGGAGCTCCGGCAGGTGCCACGAGGTTCACCGCCGGTTATTTTGCTTAGTTCTTGAAATATCAATTCTGCTCTCCTTCCTCCATTCTAAGCTTTCAAACAAAGTTATTTTTCCTCAACCTGCTCTACTTTATAGCCTGGTTATTTTCGAAAACGACGTACTATTTCGTAAAACTGATTTAGTTATTTGCCATCTTAAATCTTGAAGTTAGCTTGTTGAAGAATGAAAGCAATGATACATTATAATTTGGTTACAGAGCTCAGTTGTGTTGCTATCTAATCAATATACACTTGTTAATTTGGATGACTTTAAGACTCCCTAGACCACCCTCTCCCAACAGCCGCCTACTTTATCAAAACAGACACCTACTCAGAATAATTCTGAAAGCCCTGGCTATAGACCAAATTTTTATCTAGGCAAGAAGATCACCACAGTTAGAAAGAGCATGATGCTTGTGATGTTACTCTGAGTGTATATCCACACCGGGCAAGCTTGAAAAATATGCCTGACCACGGTGGGAATCGAACCTACGACGTTTGGAATACTAGCCCAATGCTCTGCCAACTGAGCTACGCGGTCTGGTCGGTTCGAGTATGTGATATTTCGGAACAGAATCTAGTTCCTTCGATATTAATGTTATTACACCAACACAGAAAAATCATGATTATTATTAGATAACTTTAATATCGAAGGAACTAGATTCTGTTCCGAAATATCACATACTCGAACCGACCAGACCGCGTAGCTCAGTTGGCAGAGCATTGGACTAGTATTCCAAAGGTCGTAGGTTCGATTCTCACCGTGGTCAGGCATATTTTTCAAGCTTGCCCGGTGTGAATATACACTCAGAGTAACATCACAAGCATCATATTCACCTGAGTACATTACACCAACACAGAAAAATCTAGAAAGAGCATGTTAAAATTAGTAAAATTGCAAAGTTTGGTTGCGAAATGTTACAAAATGCGGGAAATATAGCCCTGCGAAATTTGCAAATTTTGTAATTTGTATATTACACGCGGGAAAATGCACCATATTTTGGCCGAAAGTGGTATATTTTCAAATGTCGTATAGGGCTATATTTTCCGCATTTTACAACATTTCGCAATCAAACTTTATACAAGATATGGTATATATAAGATATGCCGAAAACAGACGTACTTTATAGCCACAAACCATGGCTATAAGGTATGCCGAAAACAAGCGTCAGTTTATAGCCATAAACCGTGGCTATCAGGTATGCCGAAAACAGACGTACTTTATAGCCACAAACCATGACTATAAGGTATGCCGAAAACAAGCGTACTTTATAGCCATAAACCGTGGCTATCAGGTACGCCGAAAACAGGCGTGCTTTATAGCCACAAACCGCGGCTATAAGGTATGCCGAAAATAAGCGTACTTTATAGCGCGCCATAAACCGTGGCTATCAGGTATGCCGAAAACAGACGTACTTTATAGCCACAAACCATGACTATAAGGTATGCCGAAAACAAGCGTACTTTATAGCCATAAACCGTGGCTATCAGGTATGCCGAAAACAGGCGTGCTTTATTGCCACAAACCGCGGCTATAAGGTATGCCGAAAATAAGCGTACTTTATAGCCATAAACCGTGGCTATCAGGTATGCCGAAAACAGGCGTACTTTATAGCCACAAACCATGGCTATAAGGTATGTCGAAAACAGGCGTACTTTATAGCCACAAACCATGGCTATAAGGTATGTCGAAAACAGGCGTACTCTGTAGCCACAAACCATGGCTATAAGGTGTACTGAAAACAAGCGTAGTTTATAGCCTAAACCGTGGCTATAAGGTATGCCGAAAACATGCAGGCATACTTTATAGCAAAAAACCATGGCTATAAGGTATGCAGGAAACAGGCGTACTTTATAGGCACAAACATATTGTATAGTATCTTGTATTCATTTGGTTATTGTAGGTCCATATTCAAGAGCAAGACAATGATAATTCTAAAAAGAAACAACTTGACGTTTGGTCAACTAGCAAGGCAGCAAGTAGCAAGAAAGGTGCTGAATTTTTAACCCATGTAGTACATAGTTAAGGTGGCTCCCTAAAGTTCTAAAATCCGCAAGTAAATTTCTGTGATTTATGATTAATTAGCCTTTCTCACGCCGCCATTTTTGGGCCGTGCATGGTAACCTTTTTAGAACAGGGATAGTATAGTGAAAATGAAACTTTTTATACTGAACTATAGTTGTAAGTATAATCATCATAAATCGATTTACAGTTAAATATTTGAAAAATTATTTTCACATCGCTTATAGATTTGTCACGTTGTTTATAAAATAGTACCCAAAAATGGCGGATTTGATTTGGATCTTCGTGAGAAAGGCTAATTGCGTTGTTTATAATTATTTTTGTCATTCAGGTTATTCACTGGGCTACTGGTGTTTCTCTCCTGGGGAGACGATGAAACAGTTGATGAAAAGTAATGTTAGATCTATGATCTTAACCAGCGGAACACTGTCACCTTTACAATCTTTCAAAGCTGAACTACAAATGTAAGTGCATGTTGAATCACTTGGCTTGATATTTGGAGCCTCCAGTTTGACGCGACCAGGTTTTATCTGGGTACTTCAATTTCCTGGTAATACTGAATCAATACGGATGGTCTTACTTGGTTCTCTGGGTAGAACAGTTTAGAACTGATAGAGCTATCCAGTATAAATAAAGTTAGTTCAGTTTAGGTTTCCTCCTGTAGTAACATGCACTAGAGCAATAAGTCATGATCCTCGTGCTGGACTTCGAAAGAGAGTTATCAGTTATCTATCCACTAGGTAGTTCGGTGTAGGTTTCAGTGTAGGATCCAGACATCCAGTGCACACTGGATCAAATTAGTCGACCATATTACTTCATTTTGGTCACATGATAATACTGGATACCTGGTGAAGAATATTGATCCAATCCTTTAGAACTGGATCAAAATTAAGGAGAGACTTGTTCGTAGAGACGTCATATCAAATCCGACAATTTGGACTTCACCGGACAATCTTCAGACTCGTTAATAATTCATGAGTAAATTAGCCAACCATATTGCTTTATTTTGCTCACATGATAATACTGGATACCTGATGAAGAATATTGATCTAGTCCTTGGACTGGATCAAAATTAATTCAGTCCTTGGATTGGATCAAGATTAATTCACCTCACTTTAAGTAGTGATTTACTGATTTATGCGTATGAGATGTCAAAAACCTAGTCCAGTCCTCATAGTCGGATTTGAAATATTACATCCAGTCTTTGTAATTAGTTGTCTGGTCGGATTTGATATGTTAGGTTTCTTATGACTATTACGAATAAATTTGTGATGTCAACTAATAATTAGCTGTATGGAAATCTGGAACGTCGCTATTGCTTCGCGAGATCCTGTATAACTAAACAACTGTACATTGCAAGAATCAAACTCTTGTCATGATACACAGTATCTTGTCATATGTCACGTGAAAGCCTCATGCACCAACCGCTGTGACACAAATATTCCTCAAGTTACTCCATTTTCTTGCAGTGATATACCAGTGGAACTTCAAAATCCACATGTGATCAAGAAACATCAGATGTTTGTTGGAGTTCTCAAAACAGGACCCGACGCAGTTGTCCTCAATTCTTCATTCAAAAACAGGTACAGATAACCTCTCTCGTTCATCGAGACCCCGTTTACAGCAAAGCAAAAGATTCCGTATTCACTAAAGTTTCCAGATTCGAGTATTCGGATACGTTAACTGTTTGCACTACAGCAGTATGAAGACAGATTTTCACAGGGTTTTCAAACCAAGCTCAAGCTGGTCGTCTCTGGAGCTCTGGCATGTGTTATGAGGTTGACCGCCGGGTATTTTCTTTAAAATATACTGTGCATCCATATCGCTTTCAATCACTGGCGAAGAAGAATCAAGAATAAGCTAATAATAAACAGTTATTGGATGAGGTTTTTGTGATATCTTTTTTAATTATTTTGGCACAAAAAACATTCACGAAAACGCCGTTCGTTCATGTTGAAAATTGTATTCCTTATTCGTGTATTTAAACTGCCACTTGCTATAAAATTACATACCGCTGGCTCAACCCACACATAACTCAGTTGTCTGCTAGCAGATAACTGAGTTATGTGTATGCGTGATTGCCATATTTACCTGTAAGCTATTAACCAATCAAAACGCATGCAGCGACTACAATGTATAATAAAGTCAAATAATTGTCTGGAAACCAAGAACTAGCGACCAAGATCAGTGCAATGAAGGAGAAATTTTTATTGATAATTTTGAATGAAATTTATTGAAAATTAGTCTTTGCTTTTTCCAATCCTCATTCATCCTATGCATGATGTACTATTTATAGCACACAGTGCATTATCAGAAATAACACACGAGTGCTATAAATGACCTAAAAAACGATCTATCTGATGAGTTCATTGGCGAAGTAATTTTAAAAATTATCTTTGTCACTTGGAGATTAAACAGGGCCCTTAAACAAAGTCCTTAAACAAAGTCCTTAAACAGGGCCCTTAAACAAAGTTGAAGTCCTTAAACAGGGCCCTTAAACAAAGTTGGAGATTAAACAGGGCCCTTAAACAAACTCCTTAAACAAAGTCCTTAAACAGGGCCCTTAAACAAAGTCCAGTGGCGTAGCCAGAACGATAATTTTTTTTTGGGGGGGGGGCATATTCATATATTCGTGTTCTGCTTTATTAATTTCTCTTGAAATCAATTGTTTTTATGGTATGTGAACACGAAAATATTAATATGCCCCCCCCCCCAATTATCGTTCTGGCTACGCCACTGACAAAGTCTAACCTATATAGTTCGATATGTTAAGTAAACAATTCATATTTCTACCCTAGGAACAGTGAAAAGTACCTGGCAAGCTTGGGAAATGCAATAGGTGAGTAGAATAGGAGATTCGAAGGATAGAGAATGTCATTGTTTCCATTAAAAGACGTTGGACACACGCGACATGTACCCTTATGCCCTCTCCCGTGGACAGTTGAACCGCTATTAAACGGACATGCACATTTGAGACCTGACAGATATGTGTGCTTAAAGGAGGTCTCTCCTCTGATAGGGGTTAATAATAATATCGATGTTTTTTGGCATCTTGTTCGATGTTAAAGGATTTTATAGATGAAAATTTCGAGTGTAAAATTTATAGATTTATTTAGACCTAACCAGGCGTAGTTGTGAAAAATGCAACTATAGGCCCTCTGGCAGGAATTGAACCTGCTGTCCTGTGATTCCGGTGCAGCGCTCTGACCAACTGAGCTACAGAGGCCAGTTGTCGAGCTCTAACTACAAGGTCATGTATGTATACTAAGGTGATGCCAATGTAATTAAAGTGTATGTGGTCAGGGTTTTTTTTCAGGATTTTCTCTTGGGTCCGTTTTTGCAGAGAAGATTGAGTTTAGCTGAACAGCTGGGGGGGCTGACACCTGTACTCAATAAATGTAGTTGAGACGGAATGTGTTAAAGCAGGGGCACTAAGGGACACTATAAACTGGTTAAAGATGGCGAATGCATAGTTTTTCTTGTGTTGTGAGATGAATTCCAGCCATTTTTTTTAATTGTCGGGTTTCCAACTGAAATGAACTCAAACAACTTCATTTTTACTGCACTGAAACTTTGGTGAGAAGATTGAGTTTCAAACTCAATTCAAGATTGAGTTTTTGGGGCCGTTTAACAGCCCTAAAAAATCCCTGAAAAAACCCTGGGTGCATGAGGGAGCCTTACTGCCCACTCTCCTCTGCAGTCGACAACATTACTATCCCAACATTACCATTAATTAAGATGGTCAAATCTGCATGTTCGCTGTTCTGTTACGTTTTACATTATCTTTTGTTTAAAAAGTTTACATCGACTTTTTATCACGTATGTGTGACTAGACAGTTGTTGTAGCACAGTACAGCAAATTTGCTTGTTAAAGTACAATATATTTGACAATATGGCTGTATAACAATGTCGACATGTTTACATATGTAACCCTTTAAGTGGCAATTGCACCCATTTGCGCCCTACTTTGTTATTTTATTCTGATTTTTTTAGGGTAGAGCTAAACTTCTCTTGGAGGGTGCTAGACACCACTAGGTAGGGTGAGCACCAGTAACATAATTTGTGTTTTCCACGACTGTACTTTTAATATTCCTACTGCTGTTTTCCATTATAATTACTCGACAAGCTTTGCAGCTAACCTATTGCAGAGCCTGAAATAACGGCCGGCGGTTTTCCGACCAAATTCCAGTTTTTCCGACCAAATACTGAAATGATCGGAAGTTTCGTCCGGACAAATGTTGAAAAAAAATGATAATCTGGTTTTTTTTTTAATTATCGGGTCGGCGCTCAGCACAGTGAGTGCAGTATCTATAGTCTTAGATTATCTATACTAGTCTTATATAGAGTAATCAACTGGAAAGTTATCAAAGTTTCTTCGATCAGAGTATGCTTT